TCGAACCCTTTGGAATTCATTATGTCCATTCCAATGATCGCATCGTCCTCAATGTCCGCCATCAATGCACGATCTTTTAATTTTGTGCTGCCCAACACTAATTGAATTGGTAGTTCTTCAAGTACAGTGGCTGGCTCCCCTGTTGCGGTGCGTAGCTTCCAGCTTGACGGTTCAATTCTTGCCGGTGTTTTGGCAAAGGTTGGCCCAAGAATGGTTCCCGTCGCACTTGTATCTAGCAGCATGGTGCAAGGCTTGTTGTTGATGAGGCCGTTTACGAAAACACTTTGTCTTGTCATTGGAGAACGGCATATGTTGCCGTTCTCTAGTTTTCCTGATTTGTTGTCGATTCTTTGAAAGCTGGACATTTGCTACGCACATATCCAATTTTCCCACAGTTCCAGCATCTTATTTGTTTCCTCTCAGGCAACACTTCTTTCATTACTTTTCTGATGGCGGCCTCAATATCAGCAGGCACTTGACCATCTTCCTCGATAGCTCGAACTTTGCTTGACTCTTGCATTATTTCGCAGCCTCAAACTCCAGAGCGCTTGCCAGTGCATCCACGAGATGTTTGGGATGAGCTAGCGTCAAGAACTGCCTCGTTTTTTGGTGGCGAAGTCCATCCAAGAATGCCTGAAGTGCTAACCGCTCCATTACATTTTCGGGTGTAGCAGGATATGCCAGACGGACCAATCGAGCTATGATGGCTTCAAACTCCTGTAGGGATTCTCCTGATTTCTGACAGCGGTTCTTCAGCTGTAAATGGTAAACGTGCTCTAGGTGTGCCTGTACATACCGTAGCTCAAGATGCTTTATGAGTGGGTCATAGTCTTTCTGTTCTTGGGCCGTGAGGGTTTGCAAAATATTTGTTGCTTCTCCACGCAACGCCGATGTTAATGCTACCGCCTTTTCTTCTGCATTCCATCCATTTGCTCTGGCTGCAGCTTCGAATTATCGGCGGTAATTTTCCCAGGAAGTTTTTCCGTCGAACTGGGGCGGCTTCATGGAGAGCTTTCCTGGTTCAGAACTGACTTTGACATCTTTCAGTTCAGGAATTTGAGTTTTCGGTATCCGTTTCTGTGGGGTGGGTAGGATTCACGAATTGATTTCGCAACTTGCTAATTATTTCCTTTATCTCACTGATTTCTGCCTGAACTCCGCCTTTGATTTTCTCTACTTCTGTGTTCATTTCCTTCCTGATTTTATCTATCTCTGTCTCGATGGTTCCTATCCTTTCTTCGACTAGGCTCACCAAACTACAAAGCTCTTTTTCAGGCCTTCTACATTTTCTAGAAGTTCTTTCTTCAAGCTATTCGAATTCTCTAGAAATTTATCTTCCAAACTTTTCGAATTTTCCAAAAGCTCGTTTTCCAAACTCTTCAAGTTTTCCAGAAGCTTCTCCTCCAGGCACTTCGAATTTTGTTGAAGGTCATCTTTTAAACTTACTGAATTTTCGCGAAGCTTCTCCTCCAAACTCTTCGAATTTTCCAGAAGCTTCTCCTCCAGGTACTTCGAATTTTCCAGAAGCTTCTTCTCCAGACTTACCGAATTTTGTTGAAGTTCATCTTTCAGCGGTTTAGTGTTCTCATCGAGTTTGCTTATTATTGAACCCAAATCACCCTCAGAAACTTCGAATAAATATGCTTCCGGATCTTCTCCTGATTTCCGGAAGAATCTAGCTCTCTCTCCTCCAATTCTTGCTTCAATTCAGCGACTTTCAAGTCCACTAGGCGCACTTTCCTCGAACACATTTTCTCTTATTGTCTATTTTCCACTGAAAATGTCCACTTATTTTAATCGAGTCCGAAACACTTATTTATTTTCACAGGTCTACTTCGCGAAACACAAAGAATCACCAATCCACCAATCTCTACGCGAACAAATAGTCAATTTCACCGTAAAATACAAAGAGTGTCCACCAAGCGCTCACAAATTTATTTTAAAAATCCACTTCTGATCACCAATTGTAACGAATTAAAGAATTAACTGTCTTAAACAAATTTATTTTTAACAATATTTCACTATCACAACTAATTTATATATAACACTTAGCAACAGACGCGTAATTTATCTTCACTGTTCCATTTCTTTATTTAAACGCATTTAAACGCAAAAGCGGCCTTTTTATATCGTTAACGAACGCTCCAGATCTCTCTAGGGGTTTCGACACTCATCTGTTCCTTTCGCGGTGGTTCGCTATGAGTCATATATTTGCTGGCTGAGATATCGGTCAGGGCCGGCTTCAAATTCGTTACAATTTGGTTCCAAAATAGAGTAGTTTTCGAAACGACGTTAACTCACGAAAACCCCGTAGTCAGGGCCGCGGTAGATTACGCTATCGACGACCCTACCCGCTTTAAAAGGTCTCGCCTCGCATCTCCGCGAAGTGGGGTCACTGGCTAGTGACTTTAGAAGTTACGAGTTGAACGGAGTTCAATAAAGAACAGGATGCGACGGCGAAAATTAGTCTCGACCTTGCAACGCACCTCACAGAGTTTTAACTAAGCCTATATCACAGGCAGAGAGTATGAAAGAGTTAGTTAAATCCAACTCGTTTGATTAGAAGATAGGCTTTGCGGAAAGTCTCTTAAAACTTTTTACATTGTCATCGGTGCATTGATTGCTTGTTTTCTAATGAAACCAACTCTATTTATACTTCAATATGGGTTAAGGGCAAGGTAATTTGGTTTATTCCTCTGAAAATGTTGAAATTTGCGAATTATGTAAAACAATAATTTTATACCCCTTTAACTTATATGGAGGAAAGATATCAAAAGATCTGAATAATCAAAACTCTTAAAAATTTGAAGGTGTTGAAATTTTCTTCAATTTGCGGGTTCATCAATTAAATAATTTCCCGAAGGCAAGCCACAAATTAGAATTAATGAGAGCTATTTCTGAAAAACATACAAGGTGTATCAACGATAGGTGCATGGACGATAGATGCTTTCCTATCAAAGATATAAAAAAAATTGATGGATGTAGCCGTTACTACGCGGTAGGAAATCATTTCTCTTTTCTTCAATATAAAAAAAAAGGTTTCCAAAAAAAATGTAGAGATTGATAAAAGCTATTTCATGTTTTCTTAAATAGAATACTCCAGATATTTCCACCCGATTGAATTTCTTAGGCGGAGTGCTTCTCAAAAATATAGAGTTAATTTAGTTGATACAGGTTGGTTCAGAAAAGTATGTTATGTGTGTTTGAAATATGTTTTTTCCGTTAACCAGCTATCGCACCCCTACGAACGAGAACCCTTGGGAGTCGATACTTATGCGAGGTAAGAACTAACGAGGTCGTATTACCTTTTAACTTGTGATTCCTAACACGGGTTGGACGATAGCAAGTGAAAATTGAGCGTTCAGCCTGGGACTTGAACCATCGACTCACACATCGGCCGAGTGAATAAAGCACCCACGTCGAATCGCCCGGCTACCGACCGGCCGAGTATAAAGAAGTAATTATTTGAATATATCTACAATTTCTCTTTGAACGTCAAATATTATTTATCTTGAAATAAAGTAAAAAACTTCTTTAAATCAATCTATTTTCCTTCTAATTTTATTGGTTTCTTGCGATAGGCCAATCCCTCAGCAAAATAACAGAAATCTAAGGAAATTAAATCAGGGGACATTACTGTTCCTGCACTCCGCCCAAGAAATTCAATCGAGTGAAAATATCTAGAGTATTCTATTAAAAAAAAAAACAACTTATAGGGATTTCTGTATATAACTCATAATCATTGAAACATAGCTTTCATTAAACTCTACAAACTTTTCCCGAAACATTTTTTTGTATCTCTAATAGGGAAGCAGCTACCGTCAACCCACCTATCGTTGATGCACCCTGTATAAACTAATTTGATTATTATCAAAGAATAAATTTTTACATAGGTTTCAGTAAATATTTAATATATTGATTATAAAACCTATTTTTACCACTTACTTTGGACATGTATCGATGAAAATTAAATAAATGTGTTTATTCTTAATATGATGATTATTTACATTCAATTCAAAGTATGGATCTGCTTTCGGCGCCGATACCCCTTACCGCATTATTTTAGGCTTCACTTGCACGCGCCTATAGTCCTGCGTATGCATTTTTCCTTGGTTTCTACTTTCACGATTTTGACCGAGAAAAAGATATAGCAGCGCGGTAAACTTTAGGAACTTGTTGAATATTCCCAAAAAGAATCTGAATAATCATTGGCCTTCTTGTATAAGAGTTGTGGTTTTTGAAAATGTAATATTATTTTTCAATGGGAATTATTTGTGTAATCTTTTTTGTGGCAGTGGTTCATTTATTTCACTTGTGATTAGAAAAAGTGTTGGGAGGAAATAACCCATATCTAAGGAACGAAAAATTTTTCATTCGAATTCATAGTACTTTTTAAGTGACTTCACTGGAAAAAAATCTATCAAAGTGTAGTATATTCATTAAAATATCATCCCTTGCTTGCATAGTGCAAAATTTCAGTATAGATTCAATATTTTTTTTCCTCATCATATTTTTCATATTTGATTTAATTTTTCATTAAATGTTTTTTCTTTTCAGATTTATTCCATTTCCAACTCGTAATCATTCGAACTTAAATGTTTTGCTCCCTATAAGCCATTTGGCAATATTTGTGATCTGAGCTTCTTACGGATTGAAGTTGCCCTGAGTAATTTGGGGGCATGATATTAAGACTTAATTCATATGCCAAAACTTCTCAAAACGGACGTAAAACTCTTTAAACAAGTCAAAATCAAACATCCATCTTTTAGGCACTCTAAAAGCTGTTCAATTCTCAGAGCAATTATATAAATAGAGATGCCTTTCTGTCCTTGTTTCTGAAGCCAAATTACTTTGTTTTCTGGTCTGCAAGTGTGTTCCGATAATTGAAAATTTATTTCTCTCTATCGCCCTCTGACGGCCTCGCCGTTGGTGACCCTAACTAACCCCCATGATTTGTATATACCTTAGAAAGCAACGACCATATAAATATAGAAGAAGAAGAATGTAATATCTTAAGTTAACCTAAAATCTAAACATAACCTGAGATCAAAGTGTATAGTTCAAAATTCAAAATAGTAAGAGTTCTTTTTTTTAACAAAAAACGAAAAGTTGATTCAATACTGCCCAATATTTTGTTCAACAGCCATGGACAATCCTATCGCAGAGTTATCTAACCACAAGTCTCACAGAAGTCGACATTCTGGTAAGCATCTCGCGAACTTTAGTGTCTACCATGAATTAATGTTTCTACTTTCTTAGGAAGGAAATCGGAAAAGAAAAAAAATAAAAAACGGGACGAAAATCCCGTAGCAGAAGAGTTAACAGCCAAGCAACGCAATCCAAAAGCATTTGCTTTCAATTCGACTATAGGTGCTGAACGTCGTTTCAGGAGGAAACAGGACCTTAATACAAAAAAGCAACATATACCACTTATTGATAGGACGCCCATAGAACCACCCCCCATACTTGTAGCCGTTGTCGGCCCTCCAAAGGTTGGAAAATCTACACTGATAAGCAATTTAATTAGGTTATTCACTAGGCTGCCGTTGACAGACATTAAAGGACCTGTGACGATAGTTACGGGAAAAAAGAGGAGAATAACATTCATTGAATGTAATAATGATATTAATTCCATGATTGATCTAGCCAAAGTAGCAGACTTGGTTCTACTACTCTGCGATGCTAGCTTTGGCTTTGAAATGGAAGTTTTTGAGTTTCTAAATATATGCCAAGTGCATGGCATGCCTAGGATAATGGGGGTCTTGACTCATTTGGACATGATTAAAAAAAGTAAAACTCTTAAGAACACCAAGAAAATTCTCAAACATAGATTTTGGACTGAAGTGTATGCAGGAGCTAAGCTGTTTTACCTTTCCGGCATAATACACGGTGAATATATGAGGAATGAAATTAAAAATTTGGGTAGGTTCATATCGGTTATGAAATTCAGACCTCTCCAATGGAGAATAACTCACAGCTACCTTCTGGGAGATAGATATGAAGATCTAACCAACCAAGAATTAATCAGGAAAAACCCAAAATGTGATCGAAATGTTGCTTTGTATGGGTACATCAGAGGTGTACCTTTGAAAAAAGAAACATCTGTACATATTGCTGGTAAGTAACAAATTTTAGTATTTCATATGTGATTATAAAAGTAACATTTCAACAGCTCGCACCAATTTTTGAAGAAAAAAAATAATCAGACTTACATATTTTTGTCCACTGATAACGAATCTCCAGTAAAAACTTGGCACTGGGTTCAACTTTAGGCACTTCGTTTAATTTTCAACAGTCTGAAAGTAGAACAAAATATAAAAACTACTCTGTGCAAAATCTTTAGGAATCCAAATCGTCAACAAACTCTAGTGCTGAAATATTGAACTACACTTGAGGTATGGAATTTCATTTTGGGAGAGTTGCAGTACTTATCTGATAATAATGAACTTCATTTCAAAATTGTTCCCATAAATATAAAAAGAAAATTCGTGATTTAAAACACAATGAAATGAACTCAAAATATAATCGTAAATAAATCACTCGTAAGTATTATTAAGAGAATCATTAATACATTAAAGTTCTCCATTTATTAACAACTTTTCAACTGTTTTAATTTTTTCATCTACAAAGGATGGATGAAATCATTCCTTCCGGTGTTGTTGCTATGAGGGATAAAAATGTCAAAGTTTTCCTTATTTTTGAAACTTTACATCAAGCATTTGAATATAATATAAACCCTACATAATTAAGAGTCATTAAATCTGTCATATTCAATCTGCGGTCCACTGGTCCCTTCTAATTGGCCCACCTGGAGTTATAATTTTTTTTGAATTATAGAGCAGAGTTATAGAGTTATAGAGCAGAAGTTATAGAGCAGAAGACTTGTTTTAAAGTTCTAAGTGATATGAATATGTGAAGTTACGTTCGGTATGAAAGCGAATAGGATTTCAAAGTTATTAAAATAACAGGTTTTTTACAAGGCATATCGACACGACATGATATGAGGTGCATAACCATTCGAAGTTACGTTTTGTTATATCGGACTCATGTCTCCCGAACATTGCATCGAGTATAAGCACGGGTCGCGCAAGCGAGATGGCAAGAATCCCCTTCCACTTTAATACTTTAACTAGTGTGTGTCGACTTGTTTGCCGACCGTGACTTGTTTTGAATTTATTTACATACACAACTATTAAAAGCTAACTAATTTCGCCCGGTAATTGCAGTTAATTGGTGTCGTTTAGCGTAAAATTGTTAGTGTTATGTAGGGGCTTTTCCTACAACTACTTAGTTTAAAACATTTTATTTCTCTTTATTGCGGCTCTCGCATCAAGACCGTAATGTGTTTGTGGCCCCATTAAAAAAAAGGTTGAGTATGGCTGCATTAAATGTTATATTATTAATGATTCTGATTGCTCCTTTTTGAAATAGAAATAATTTCTTAGTTCATAAAATAACTTTCTCAGAATACAATCCTGTGTTTCAATATAGGTCAAAATTAACAAATGTAGGTAGGTATTTCTTTATCCAGATATCTAGTAGGTACATATTTTCAATTTATAAGAGATTTTACTGTTTTTGAAAATTAATCAATGTAAACACCTAAGAGTTTGATGTGATTACTTTCAAGTTAACGTTGTTTAATTAAACTTTATGTGGACTATTGTAATAGTTACCTCTAAAGAATATGATATAGTTTTAAAATCAATTATCAATTTATTTTGTATAAACCACTCGTTAGGTCAGTTGAATAAATAGTGAATTTGTTTATACTTCTGGGTATATTTCTCTATCAGCAATTGGGTTGTTTTCATATAGATTATTAATATCAATGATGAATAGTAGCAAACCAAAAATACTGGCCTGAGGCACACCTAGGTTCTTTGAAATTGACTCAGATTCAATTTATTGAAAATTTATATTGATATATTATACTTTCTGTGGTCTGTATTTAATGTATTACCTCTAATGCCATACTAGTCCAGAGACACTCATATGACCTTGACATACCCAATGCAACTTTTTTTTGTTCCATTAAATTAATTATGTTGATGGGAAATTGATAAATTGCATAAATTGAAAGGGATATATTTTTAGGAGAGATTAATTTTTGGGAAAGAAAGGTTTTGGCTTTCTACTTCTCCTTCTCGATTCAAAAAATTAAAGGTCAAAATTTCACTTACATGGAACCCTGTCATCCTCACTAGTAGACATCGATGTTTCACCGTAAAACACTTGCCTTAGGGCTCTTCAATACTAATGTGGATGATATTTTAAAAAAAACACAATTCATTCATAAATTACGAATGTATGTCACTGAATGAATTTGATCTATTCATGTCATCGATGACATCTTAATGACATTCATTCGCTTATTTGTTTTTGGCTTTCTACTACTCCATCTTGATACAAAGAAATGTGGGAATCTTCCAAAGAAAGAAAGACAGCAATCAATGTCAAAGAAAGTAACTCTATGCATAGATGTGTAGATCATGCAAAGAAGTAACTTTCAGACACAAACTAGAAGAAAAAGCACTCCTGAAACAGCTTCTTTCATATAAACATTGAATTATATGAAAGAAAAATTCTTTTGAAACAAATACCCTTATTTAAACACTAAATTATACAAAAATCACTTTTCTCTACTCAGTTTGTATTCCAAACATTCGTTATGGAATTGAATCAGATATCATTCACAGGATTACTTCACAATATAGTAAATGAAAGAGGTAAAATTACACTTGAAAAACTGTCATCCTCACTGGTAGATATCTGATGTTTCGCCAGAAGATACTTGCCTTATCAGTTTTTCAGTACCAAATCTGTATAATATAGGAAAAAACACTCAGTTCATTCATAAAATTATGAGTGAAATTATGAGATCAATCTACTCATGTCATCGATGACAGTACGTATGACATTCATTTGTTTATTTGATTAAATTTCAGACATAGGAATCTTTTTAAATTGTAAGGGGTATATTTTCAGTTTTCTCCACTTCTTCATCAATCTTGATACAAAAATCGTGGGAATATTCCAAAGAAAGGAAGAATTGATTGTTTCTTTCCTTTCTTTGGAAGATTCCCACATTTTTTTATCAAGATGGAGAAGTAGAAAGCCAAAACCTTTCTTTCCTGAAATATTGCAGTTATTGTAGATTCGCTGTTTAGAATATTTTCTTCAAAGCGATAAAATGATTGAAAAATTGAAGGCTAGTCTGCCAATAACAGTTTTACAGCAATAAAACCCTTCTTCCGAATAGCGATAAATTGACAGCAATAAAACTGACAGCCATGGAGTAAACCTCTGTGTGTCATTAACAAAATTGAATTTTCTTATATTGATGCAGTCAGCTGAGACTATTTCAGGAATTGATCTTTATGAATACTACTTGACATGCTCATTGACGTAAACATTATAAATGTCCCTTTTTTGAAACCCAAACTTTGTAATTTTTGGGCATTACTAATCGAGCAATCAGCAGTAGATAAAACCACTCATACTAAAAAGTCTTGTTTTTTTTCGTGCTTGTTGCTTTTATGGTATTGCTAAATGAACAAAGTAATTGTTGAAAAATTGGAAATTTATTAATAAAATTGAGAGGTATTGTGGTATTATTTTCAATTATCATGCTAATCATCACTAAAGATTTTGCATTTCTGAAAAAATGCAATTTAATTATCATAAATCATTAACTCAAACAATTCAGAGAAGATATAGGTAAGGCACTGATGGGTTTATGATTTTGAAACAGTTGAGAATATTCCCTATGTAATTGAATTGTTTAGCAAATATGCTGAGATATCACAAGCAACTGGTGCGGTGTTTTTAATGACACAGGCTGGGATATCATCTTCACCAGAAGTGAAGTTAAATTATTAGTGCTGGTGATTTTTTTTACATGCAAAATGTTTGATATCCTCAAAATGCATTTTTTCCAGCAAATTACATGCTGTCATGAACATTTTCACAAAGGATAAATATAAATGAATATGATATTGTAACATTCATTAAGTGTTTTTTTGTCAGCTGGGCCGGCTGTTTTTTTTCCAGAGAACGTTAGACTGTGAATCAAAAGATATAGATGTCTTAAATTCATATTTCGTTAGTATGTTTTTCTTACGTTGAAATTGATTTTAATTTTCTATTACTAATACTAGTTATTAGAAATTCCAATTTGTTCTATATACTGAAATAACTACTACTCTTACATCAGATAATGCAACGTTGTTATGCTTTTTAGGGGTTCTTATTCAACTTTATTTTCACAATTGATAACACTTTTTCCATATTTTCTGGCAGTAAGACAAAATGCTTCAGCTAGTTTTTAATATTAAAAGAATTTCAGTTGTTCAGATGTTCAGGTGTAGGAAGAGTTTTCTTTAGATTTATTTTTCACCAGAAGCTCCAAATAAGTAAATTCACTTTTTTCACTTTGGATATCGTCACAGATATGTGTTATTTCTAATGTTTTCTTGTTCTTCCTTTAGAGCTTCATTTTGTTTTCGAAGATCTATATTACTGCTAAGGCTGAATTTTGCAGCATTGGTAACTGCTGAAGATTGAAAGATAAATTATTCTGTTTGTTTCGTGGCTTTGTTCAATAAGGACTATAAGGTATTCTCAACTTCTATTACTGATTGCAGGCTACCCCTGAAATCATCTTGTTAGTATTTTATGAAGAATGAAGAACGAGGGGTTTTTAAGAAAATTTCAATTTTCGGAGATTTGCTCGTTACTCTGCGTTTTCTCTCTCTAGATGTATCTGTCCCACATCCACACCGCACCTGTGTATAAGAAAGGGGTCAAGATAGTTTCTGATAAAAAAATTATATTTTGTTTCCATAATCGATTGTTTTCAATCAGTACTGCATTTTTTTCATCTTTTTCAGCTGTGTCAACATAAGTGGGAAATCGTTTATTAGTAAATTCAGCAAGTGTTTCAAAGGACGATATCAAATTCTGAAATCTACTTTACCTGATCAGTATAAATATTTTAGATATACTTATTGCAGCAACTATTTCAAGCAGCCATTGCTAAGTCTGCCGTAATTAAATTGATATTTGAAAAATATAGGTGATAGTTGAGAATTTGAATATGAGATCATGTCATTTGTAAGCCAAGTTTCACTTATGTAAACTAAGTGATACGGTTTTTCCTAATTGAGAATGGTTAATTTAGTTTTAATTACTAACGATTCATCATTCAGATAAAAAAATAGGCAAATCCTATTTTCTCCACATGGTACTGTATTCATTAGATGATTGCAGGATGGCATCATTATGTTTGATTACAAGTCTTTCATGGAGGAACGAACCTCAAATAAATTCGTTTTCTATAGGGCCTGTGCAATTCTTTATTTGATTTTTGTATGTTTAATTGATGTGGATTGTCCAAGAAATGTTGACCTTATATTAAGTTAAAGGGATTCTACCTTACTCCTTCAGACCAGACACTACTTTCATAGATCTGTTCCCTCTGATAGGAATTGAAACTCCTATCATGCAGGATAGGTCTCCTTTTCCTTCTTGTTATTGTTGTGAAGCCTGTGTAATTTTCATCATCACCATCTTTATTTATGAGATCTGTCAGCTGCGTTTCAATTTGAATTTTCATTATATTGGCAACAGCCAGTTTTTGAGTAATCTCAGATTTAACCCGATTGTTGGTCATCTGCCCTCTGTTAGTTTTTGTTCGAGATGATTGTTTGTCCAAATTCCTTGTTGGACAAATGTGTTTTTTGTTTTCCTCTGTCTACTTTTGAGTGACTTATATTTTGCGGATTTTGCTTCAAGCAACGTAATTTTTCTTTCTGAAGAATGATGAAGTGCTTCTCATCCTCTATTACTGTATTTTTTTCCTGTTCAATTTGCCTGAGTAGTTTATTTTCTTCCCTCAGGAACATTTCTTCTGTAACTAAAGTTTATTTCTGATTGATCATATTGTCTACTTCATGTTTATTAGCTGCTTTTTTCTGATCAGCTGCTTGTCTCCAATACCCTGGACGGAATATATGCTGACAATTAAAGAAGCACTTCCAGCGACCAGGACACATGTTCAAAACTTCCATTTAATTATTTATTTGAACTCAAAATGTGTTCTTCCGCTTTTTTTCAGGTTTTGGCGATATCAAGATCCAAGACATATCCTACTTGCCGGACCCTTGTCCTTTGCCCGAACAATTAAAGAAAAGAGCCCTGATCGAGAAAGAAAAACTGATTTACGCCCCGTTCTCTGGCGTAGGAGGTATAGTCTACGACAAAGATGCCGTCTACGTTGAACTTGGTGGTTCCCATAGCCACACGAAGCGCGAAGAAGACGAAACCAACGACATAGTCACAAACCTCATCGACGCTCAAGAGCCGATTGACGAAAAAATGAAATACTCCAAGCTGCAAATCTTCTCGGAGGGCGATAAGCTTACCGCAGAAGACTTGTGTGAGAATGAAGAAGGAGGTTCTGAAGTGCAACTGTATGAGAAACCAGAGATAAAATCTAGCGATACTGAGTTGGATTCTGAGTTGAAGAAGCTGAGGAAGAAGACCTTTGTTGAAGTTCAAGGTAAATCAACCCAATACTCATGACCAGAAATGAACATCCAATAGATATTATTAGAAATCCCTTCCTTTTTTAGACTCTGATATATCAGAATTGAGAAAAATAATAAAAACAATTAAAAATTTAAAAAACATAGAATCGATGATATCAATGATATACTAATGAATATTTTTGACAATCTGCTAGATATAGCATTGATATAGTGGTCAAACTGAGATAGCTATTGTTATTCTATATACAAAGGTGATGCCAGAGATGTTGCGAATTTTGGGCCTATATCCTTTATTTTATACCAACGCGGGCTAAAATGAAAGGGAAGCTGGTAAAAATAAGAATAACAGGTTTTCTAAAAAAACCTAAAATAATTTCTCAAAATTAGTATGTATTCCAAGAAAAAAACACTGTTTATGCAATCTTCTCAGTGAATATTGTATTTAATAGAATCGTATTCGTTCTAGTTTTATACATACACGGTAGTCATACATACAGATTTGATGTTACTTCCCCTATCGAACCCCCAAAGCATGTCAACATTTTTTTAAATTTATCTGCAATATATCTTGTCTTCAAACTTGTACTATACTTATACTCATCTATTAGTTTCATAATTGTGACTGCTTTGTCCATAAGAATATTTTCATAATGGCTATAAAGAATATTTTCCTTTCTCAAGATAGTGGAAGGATACGGCGGAAAGTTGTATTTGATACGGATGATGCTGAAAGTTCTTCTGAGGATGAACAAGGAAACAGTGTACATGATGAAGATGAAGACGCAAATTATACAGAGTTAAGCGAAAATAAAGCTAATGAAATCCATTCCAAAATCAAAAATGTTTTGGAGGGACTAAATTCCAGAGTTAAAAACAAGACTGTCAATGCTGAATCGGAATCAGAAGAGGACCTTTCTGATGAGGAATCAGACAAAAGCGACGATGATTCAGAAACTGACGAAGACGAGGGATTGAAATGGAAGGACAACATGATGAGTAAAGCCAGGGAATCTTTTTTGGACCGGCAAGCCTCTAACAAGAACCTAATGAAGCTCGTGTATGGTAAAGTTCACATCGTAACACTATCCAAGTTCTCTAGTAATATAGAATACTTTTCAGGTGATTACATTTCCAAACCTTCTGAAGAACAGGAGCAAGACAAAGATTCAGAGGGAGAAGACATTGGTGGATTATTCCGAAAAGTATCGAGAGACCAACAGAGAGTCAAACAGAACAAGGACATCATGGACTTACCCGAGTCTTCGTTGCTTTTACCTTGGAATGCCCCCATGAAAGACTGGTTGGAGCCAGAAGTGAGTATATTATAATTTCGTATATTGATGTTTCTCTTATAGAGTGTGAAGAAAAAATGTCAAGAGATTTAGCATGTGGGGTAGCAGGAAAGGTGACAGGAAATAGGATTAATAATTGAAAGGGTTGGAAAAGATCAGTGTATCTATTGAGAAACACTTTTTTCAAACCAGAACAAAATACTGCCTCTCGACACACATTTCGTTAACCAAGTAAGCGTCATCAAGAGATGACTGGAACTATATTTTTACGGCCATCTCAATGTTTTCAATACATCTAAGCCGACTATAATCCTACCAGAATTAATTAAATCAATTATCAGTACAACTTAATTTCAACTTAAGAGCCACCGGTAGACAGCTGTTTCAATCTGTTGAGCACCATCAGTACCAGGCAGGCAGTCCTCGATTGGAGACAAACTGTGGATAACCAAAAAGAGTGATGAAAATCGCTGCATAAAAGCAAGTGACACTTGAATGGAACCACTTATTGGTGGTTGTCAATTGTCAGTTTTAATTATTGATCAAACCACCAATGCAAGCTATCTTGGGTGTCACACCAATAGGTGGTTTCACTTATGTGGAAAACTCGTCTTGGTCTTCAATCGAGGACCAATATACTGATGATACCCAACAAGCTTAAAGCTTTTCAACATTTTGATAATAATGCAGTTGACGGTTTAAAATATTGGTTGAACCTAAAATTTCCATATACTGGTGATTCCTGAGATGCGCTTTTGTTTCAGAAATTGTTGTAGACTTAGTAAGGTAGTTGATTGTAATGTATGTAAACTAGGTACTTCAAGAACAGTCTGACAACGTCGCGAAGTCAGTATATTTCAGATGCTCTACGTGAACGCATATCGTTCTGATCTGTAACAATAAATAACCTTAAATAAAAATATCAGCTCAGTCGACTCTGACATTCCGAAGTGAATGGTTGTAGTGTCCGCTAATAAATTCTACAAGTGATAAAACTAAAAAAATGTGTAAAAAGTGTAGCAAGATCTTAACTTCAATTCATATTGGTGAGGCTTTTTTCCTAAGAGAAAGATATAGTGGTTTTTTTCAGAGGGGTATGCCGAATATTATCGGCATATATTCCCGATATTACCATGAACTCCACTAACATACCGAGTGTTTCTGACTACAGGGACACTCAAAGTAATCAATCAAATGTGCAATCCAACTCATACTCTACTGCAGTCCAAAACTTTAAATTTCCATCCAGAGAGCAAGCCATACTCTTCAATTCTATCGAAGGAGTTGAAATACAGGAGAACATAATCGCCATCGAAACCAAAGTTCAGCCTAAAAATATAATTTTCTCCTCCAGGATCTCCAATAACAGAGTTTGTATATATATTTTCAGTCTTGCAGTTGTAGATACTTTCCTTCAACAAGGTGGAGAAATAGTGGTGAACCAACAACTACTGAAAGCATGGAGGTTAATAACACCCGCAACTCGTTTAATCCTATCAAATGTATGCCCGTCAATTCCCCACATCATAATTGAAAATAGCCTTAAAGACCTAGGTTTGAGCCTTATGTCCCCTACAACCTTTCTCAGAATCGGGATTTCACAACCAGAGTTCAGCCATATTGTTAGTTTCCGGAGGCAAGTCTATGTTCAAACTGATACCTCTACCTTTCCAGAATCAATTGTTATTCCTTTCGGAAACACTCCATACCGTATCTTTCTATCAGAAGACAAGCTAACTTGCTTCAAATGTAAAAAAGATGGTCATGTAACCGCCGCTTGCACGGAAACAGTTAATGATACCCCTACCACGGTTAGTCCTGAAACCCAATTGGAAAATGAACGTGTGGTCATTCCATCACAAATCACCAACCCAACATAAAAACGTTCAAGATCAGAGGTAACAAGCCCCACGTTATCAAACACCGACTCCAATCCACCTAAACAGTCCGGGTTTATTCAGCTGTTTTCGCAAACTCATAAGAAACCGAAGAAAACCTCATCAAACGCTACAGCCGCACACCTTTCTTCATCGAAAAGGATATTTGACGATGAATCACTACCCTTTTCTCTAGACTCCAATCAAATATATATTGATTTGTTTGACTCATCCTTGTACTCTTTTAAAAATCAGAGTTAAACGTATTGACCTACTATGAAGAAACTGCTGATTATTATTATTAACAATTAATTGATATTTGTTTTTTTTTCTTTTATGGTGTTTTATATTATTATTCAATTGTTTATTTTTTCAATCACACTATTTATGTGTTCATTGTATAATGGCAAGTCCGTAAATAAATAAATAGTCAGTTTTTTGGAAAATACGTATGGGTCATCCGATCCTCTCAGTATAGCACGTGAATATACTGACAATGTGCATTCTCTCATGGATATATTAACAAAAATATACCCAGCTCTGACTGAACGAAGTATTAAGGCTTGTATCACAAAATAGAAGAGAAAGTTGATGAAACAACTGAATAATGAACTCGAAACAAACTCAAATATTTCCCTTTCTGAGAACGATAGTGACCTCTCACAAGAAACCTATTGAATTTTCTGTCCGCCCTTTTCTTATTTTTTTTTATTAACATAATTCATTCTTCAATGGAACATAAATGGAGCATATGGAAATGCTACAACTTCTGATGAATAAGGAAAACCCCTTAGAAATATGTTTACAGGAAACTAACTTCAAGAATGCACATACATACGAAATGAAATCTTACAACTCTTTCCATAAAATTAGAAATATCCCACTTAGAGCCTGCGGTGGAGTCACCATTTACACTAAAAAAATCGATCGCTTCAAAAATGATTTCAATAACGTCAGAACACGAAGTTATAGCAGTTCTTGTCACATTTCCGTGAAAATTATGCATCTGCAACGTATATATTTCACCGAACTTAGAGTTAACCTATCGAGAACTTGATACGATAATTCAACAGCTTCCAAAACCCTTCATTATTGTGGGAGATTTCAATGCCCACAATCTTCTGTGGGGCTGCGCATCTTACAAACGCAGAGTAGTCTTAGAGGAATACATCAACCTCTCCGACCTCTTTATATTAAACAATGGTGAATTTACGAGATTCAATAGCACATCTGGAAACCATTCCGCTATAGACTTAGCCTTTTGCACGCCAAAGATTTTTACATCGCTATCTTTGGAAAGTATCATCACAAGTATATGATAGTGATCATTTTCCAATCTTGATTGAAAGCAATGATAACTCATTTCAGACACCGATATATCATCCCACATGGAAACTCAAGAATGTACAGCATGACAAATGGACTCACTATGAGAATCTCATTGACTCCAAGTTATCAGCCATTTCTTCTACAAATTTCGATTATGACGTGAATACGCTAGTGGAGAAATTCATCAAAATTATAATCGAATCGGCATCCACTGCCATAGGTCAAAATTCGCAATTAACACATCACTATTCTGTACCATGGTGGAACGACAAATGTCAGGCAGCAATAATTGAGTGCAAACATTCTTTTAACAGATTGAAACGACATTTCTCCCTTGAGAACAAAGTTGAATTTGATCGGCTCAGAGCTCGCCAACGATTTTTTCTAAAGCAAAGCAAACGAGAATCTTGGAAAAATTATGTAAACACTTTGAACCAGCACACTTCAATAGCTGAAGTATGGGGAAAAATAAACAGGATCCGAAGGACGAAAGGAAATCACATTTCCTCCCTTATTGATGACGATATCGTCGTATCAAATAGTCGCGAGATTGCTAACATTCTAGCTATTAAATTCCAGCAACAGTCTAGTGACGTCAACTACGATATTAACTTTTTAGAAAGAAGGGAAGTCATAGACTCCAATCCTTTTGTAAATGAAGACAACGATGAAAATTTACTAAACATCGATATAACCATGGATGAACTCGAAGAGGCATTATCTAAAGTGAAAGGCCATATACTGGGACCAGATGACATTCCTTATATATTTATCACGAAACTGCCACAATCCGGCAAACTCCATCTCCTAGGGATTTACAACACTTTATACCACACCAGACAACTTCCCACATCTTGGTCTAATTCTATTGTACTGCCTCTTCTGAAACAGAATGAATCTCCATCTGACCCCGACTCATATAGATCTATTTCCCTTATCTCCACCATGTGTAAGGTATTGGAGAAAAGTTTGAACGCTAGACTACAGTTTTTTCTCGGAGTAGAATAACCTGATAATTCCCCAACAAAGTGGATTTCGCAAAAACCGCTCAAAAACTGACAATCCGGTTATCCTACAGTCAGCCATACACGAATCGACACAAGATTATAGCCATCTTTTTCGATATTCATTGAGCATTCAATACAGTTTGGAATCGCAACATATTGGAACAGATGAAAAATTGGCATATCCAAGGAAATCTACTTGCTTTTATAGAAAATTTCTTGAAAAATAGATGGCATAGACTCAGAAAAAGTACCTCAAAAACGGAACCCCTCAGGGATCATCACTCAACGGCACCCTCTTCCTCATAGCCATCAACGACATCTTCAAGAATATCAAATCCCCAGTCAAAGGGCTGCTATACGCGGATGACCTAGTCCTATTTGTCAGTGGCAGAAATATAAACACATTGGAGTCACTTCTTCAGGAGGTGATATCAAGTCTGGAATTATGGTCCCTCAATACAGGTTTCCAATTTTCACCAACGAAGACCAAATGCTTTCTATTTTCCAAACAGCAAGCAACTAATTTTCCAAACTTTAAACTTAATGGACAGCAGTTAGAATTCGTAGAGGAAACAAAGTTTCTTGGGATGACGTTTGACTACAAACTGAATTGGAACGCCCGTATCCGCAATGTTAAGAAATCTTGTCAAAATGGTTTTAATCTAATGAAGGTCTTGTCAAATCACACCTGGGGAGCGGACTGCAATACTTTGTTAACCATCTATCGGGCGCTAATAACAGCTGGATGTCATTCAACATGCCGCCATTAGGATAGCCTTAGAAGCATACCGTAGTAGTTCAGTGGAAAGTTTACTTATCGAAGCAGGAGAACAGCCTCTCGATCTTCGCCGTGAATACATGACCATGACGTATGCTACAAGAATTTCTGATAATATAAACCACCCCGCCTAGCACTATACATTCAGTAACAGATTTCCCCTTCTTTTCAATCAAAGTAATAAAGGTGCTTCACCACTCTACGCAAAAATGTCAAAAATTCCTAATAATCCTGTAGTCCCTGATCATGTCATGTCACTTGGTTTCTGCTCTCCACCACCATGGACCATAAAGATCCCATCCTGTAACACCCAACACTCCATCCACAGGAAAAATGATATAACACCAAGTTTTATCCAAAAAACTTTCTCTAAAATATTCTCCAACTACAAGAAATACAATACACAGATGCTTCGAAATCTTCTGATTATCACCGATTCTCTCAGCGCAATTCATGGAATCAGTCAGTTATACCCAAGCAATTCACTACTTGTCCCTATAAAGGAAAGGATATCCAAGCTAATGCAGAATCAAAAATGTGTTAAACTAATCTGGATACCTTCCCATACTGGAATCAGAGGCAATGAGAAAGCCGATGCAGTTCACTCAGACTACTTTAAAATCATAAAGAAACTAATAGCAAACACTTGGAAAGAAAGATGGATAGCCATAGAAACAAATAAATTACGTGAGATAAATCCCGACATGCGCTTCTAGAACTACCAATCAGCCCAACGAAGACATCAAGTCATTCTTACTCGCCTTATAATCGGACACACAGGACTAACACACCAACACCTTATGAAGAAAGAATATGCTGCGGAGTGTGATATTTGTGTTGTGATCAACAGTGTGAAACACATTATCCTGGAGTGCCCAGTTTTTGAACATGAAAGACAAGAAGCAAGACTTTCCAGTGATCTGAATTCTGCCTTAGACGTGGTGAACTTGAACTCTTTAGTAACCTTTTTGAAATCTATTCATATATTACATAAAATATAATTATACCTAATTGTTCCTTCCTTCGCGGTTGATGCGGTTATTTTTGAAATTATTATACAAACGTTGCCACAAGATGGTGTCAGTGATCAATATTTCTATTGATTCTAGTCGTTAATTGATCCTCAACAAATGTGTTACCAATACTATTATTCTTTCTCAGAAATAAATAAGTGCGCTTATCGCAAATGAACTGCAGAAGTTGACGTTTATTGACATTGTGACAAATTCGAAAAATTATTTGTACCGATAATAGATTCTTTCTGTTGTTCATAATTTGGAGTACTGGACGAAATGGGGCGAGATTGCTTTATATGTGGGTGTTCCAACAGCAATGATCCTCATTAATCAGGGAAGCTATGGATTATACTGTAGACGACCCCTCCCGATATAGAAGGCCCCGACACTCTGTCGAATGAGGCCGCTATATCTTCCGTTGAAAGATGAACAACTTTTTCATCCAACCTCAGCCAGGTAGGGGTACACCGTGAAGGGCGGTACTGATGTCTGAGGACATTCATGCCGCCATACCATCAACACCCAACATCAGTTATGACCCGTTTCTCCTTCTGGCAAACATTAGTTCAAAGGATAAGGGAGCCAGGCTCCAACCTGTTTGAAATCAAGATGACGTGCAGGCAATGATCCAAATATAACGACGAACAAGGTATCTGACGTAAGAAAAAAAAGTAGTCAGTATATGCTATTATTGGTAGTTGGAAGGAACAGGGAAATAACATAAATTAAGTCTGACTACCTGAACTTAACAATACATCATTAGTAATGAAGCCAAGCCCTCCACTGATTGAATAAAACCGAAACTCAAATCACAAACTATGTAGTATCATTGGAAACCTATGTTATCTCATAAGTGAAATTATCGGTTTTGTGCATTCTAAAAGATTGGCATTAGTTTTGTTATCGTTATGTTGTTTATTCGTTAATAAAAAGGTGTTGATAACAATATAATAAGTATGCACTGTGTGGATAACTAGAGCACTTCGAAAAAAAAAACTAATCAATACAGTTTATTGTATGATTTTCATTATAAAAGGGTTTTACAAAAACCGCGACATGTGTTTCGCTATACAATAACTGTACATATAATAAACTGTATTGATTAGTTTTTTGATATGGATTTTCATCAAGTATCGGCCAGTTCTATTCAATTAGAGCACTTCGTCTATTGCTTCCTCACCTTTGATTATGTTTTCAACAGTTTTAGACAAAACATCAGGTGTAGATAGTAACGAAACGAATGTAAACTTCATTTTATATGCAAATATGCAAAGTATATGAAGCAAGCAGAGTTTGCTCGAAGTAGAGCTTTCTGTCCAGCAATCAATGTTTTTGTCAGTAACAGAATCATGGTTAAAGGACTTTGAAGTAAGTAATTTTTCAATTGATGAATATAACCTTGCGAGTGCATACTGTCGCGGTATGTACAAGGGCGGTGGTACTGTCCTGTGGGCAAAACAAGAACTTGTGGCAACTCCTTTAAATATTAACAACCTAAGCATTGAAAAAATTTTTGAATGTCGTGGATATGTATTTGAAACTCATAAAATAGTTACAATTTATAGATCACCAACATGCCAGAAACTTCAGGAAATGTTAGACCAAATATTTAGCATAAACTCACTTTTATGGGTCTTAGGTGATTTTAATATAGATTTTAACATCTTATCACACGAACGAGAGGAACTACTTGATATATTTGCACAATACGGCCTTCATAGTATTGTTTATCAGGATACAAGAATATCATCAAGTTCTAGTACAAAAATTAACAATATTTTTACTAACGCTGAAGCATGTACATATGTTATGGATAACCACTTCTCTGATCATAGTACAATAATTGTTAAAATCAACTCACATTAAGTTATGCTGTAAACATATTGAAGAGGTGAAATGTTTCAGAGACTATTGCAATAAAAATAAAATACTCTTTGTCCAAATTTTACAAAACGAATCTTGGCGCGATACATATGATGCACTAGGATGCAATGAGAAATATGAAAAATTCTCGAATACATTACANCTACTTGCATATATTATCTGTCACTGTTCTTGCATCTTTTTATTATGTCTACTTAACTTCTAATAACATGTATATATACACTAACTATAGATAAGCACAATTGCTTTATGTTCGGTTCTGACTAGTCTGATAAAGTTTTATGCTGTATGTACCACATGTATAAAATCTTTTAATGATGAATAAATTTCTATTCTATTCTATTCTATTCTATTCTATTCTAATTAAACACACACATATTTTTCATATCAGAACCGGGCCCTCATCGCCAATTGCTTCGTGACAGGTAAATGGAAGGAGGACGAAGACGCCACCGAGTTACTGAAACTCGATGACGCCGAAGATCTAGACGACATAGATTCGGAAGTATTCGGCAATTTTGAAGACTTGGAAACCGGCGAAAAACACACCGAAGCCCCCGCTTCGAAACCGCCACAGGGAGAGAAACGCAAAAGAGACGCGACCAATGAGAAAGGTAATAATGATAATTTCTTAACATATTACATATAATAATGTAGGTAGGGTAGGGTAAGTCTAAAGTATGTAAGTTATTATCCTATTTCCAATCAAGATGAGAAAAACCTTTCTGATACCTGGACTGAAGTAATTAACAAATAAAAAACAAAAAAAAAATAGGAAACATGACAAAACAAAGTACATTGTGAGCACAAATTCGAACTCTAATGATAGTGAATTTAGCGGTGCAAACCCAAAGGTTTGGCTATAATTTATTGGTCATTGCAAATCATATACAACAATAGAAATGATTACATCATATCTTGAGCACTCCCTTGGGTACGAGTTCGAAATTTCTTATCTCAATTTACGTGGAAGATTCAAATCTTTCCCAGTCCGGGCAAACAAAGGTCTCTATGAGTCACTGTATGAGCCGAAATACTGGCCCGAAAATTCTTTCATCATGAGGTTTTAATTTCGCGAATCTTTTCGAAACTCTAGTGCAAGGACGGAATTTTAACAATTCCAAAATTTCTTCCAAAATAATTAGGAAACCTGAAAATGTTTTTGTGAAAATAATGCATGTGAACTCTCAATGCATTCTCAATAAAATAAACCAAAATGGAGTGATTTCTTCTGACCAGGTTCCAGATATTTTGTGCATATCGGAGACTTGGTGTAACAATTTTACCGTATAGACCATTCTCATTTTGATATTATTAGCATTTGCTTCTCACTTTATAAGATTTAAATATATTCATGGTGGAATATGTATCCTTGTAAAAATAATTTAACTAATAAAAATTTGCAAAATTTAATATGCCCTTCGAATTGGAATACGAATCTTATTCAATATCTTTCTCAATCAACTGCAAACGTTTGTTTTGATATTATTGTACCGACCTCCCAAAGGTAGCTATTAATTTTTGAATTGCAAAAATTTGGATCCAACAAGAATATTCACCTACTTCATCAGAAGAACTAGTCTCTCCAAAATAAATTATTTTCTTACAAATATTTCTCAAAAATTAATGTCAGATTGGCAGATCACATATGTCTTAAATTTGAATTGGTCAACTGATCAATGGAAAAACATTACATTTAGAAATACTAGTGGTACATTTTGGTTCAACAACTTTTCGAAATTACACAATAATGCCCATTACAACTCATACTTTCTTTTTCATACTGGAATACCCAAATAATATTACAGAAGTAATTTTTTCTGAGAAACACTAATTCTTTAGAAATAGATTGCATTCCTCATACAAAAGTGTAAGTTCTTCATTTTGTGAACCACTTACATACTAAGTTTATCTATGGAAACTGAAATATTTCCTAATGAATTGAAAACGTTATTATCACCAATTTCAAAGAACAGTGATAGGCATATTCTTGAAAATAATAGACCTATAACAATACCCACAGCTATATGTAAAGGTGCACTTTTTTCGATTTATCAAGATATAATTGATATAATCGATCATGGCATTATTATCAGTAAACTGTGTTCGATAAGAAATAGAAATAGTTTTATTCATCACTAAAATTTTTACACATACATAATTACAAGACTAAATACATGAGAAAACTTATTGGACTAGTCAAAAG